TAAGTGCTTAGGGAAGTTTGCGAGTGCGTGTCTAAAAGTGAACTGGAATGCAGCCATAGACATGTGACATCCAGTGTTCTAGCGATATCATTCACCCGAGATTTTTTTAATTAATTATCGATTCGATTGGGCCAGGTTTGGTGTCTCTTATTAATAGGGGAAGGGAAGTCGTGGCCGCCAATTTCTGTCTTACCTTTCATTTAAAAAGTTTTGGAGAAAATTGTGCTGAATCAACTTCAACGATTTCTGACAATTAATTGTATTTGTGAGGTTTTTCAATCTGGTTTTAAGTCTGCTCACAGCACTGAGTAAGCCCTTTTGAGAGTGTTAAATGATATTTACCTCTCTACTGATTCCGGAGACTCTGTGGTTCTTATTCTTTTAGATTTATCGGCTGCTTTTGACACCGTAGACCACTCCACACTTTTATCTAGATTAGAGTTTTTCTTTGTTTGTCTAAAAGAAAATGTTCTGAAATGGTTTCAGTCATACCTGTCTGACAGAAAGTTTTTAGTGAAGCTGGGTAATTTCACCTCTTCTCCTGCACCTCTGACCTGTGGCCTTCCACAAGGCTCTATTTTAGCTCCCTCTTTATTTTCTCTTTACATGCTACCTCTGGGCTCTATTCTAAGGAACCATGGTGTGTCTTTTCATTTCTACACAGATGATACGCAAATCTATCTACCAATCAATAGAAAAAAAAATTCCACTGCGATTTCTTCTCTTCTGCAATGTTTAGAGGAGGTTAAATCATGGCTAGCCCAAAATGTCCTCTTCCTAAATGAAGACAAGACCGAGGTAATTGTTTTCGGTCCAAATGAGAACTCTCAGTGAATAAGCCCTGAGCTGGAAAGTTGATCCGTTTGTAGATCCTCACGGGTGCGGAACCTAGGTGTTCTTGTTGACCAACATTTAAAATTTGATAAACACATATCTTCTGTTATCGGATCCAGTTTTTATCAGCTTCGTTTATTGTCTAAAATTAAAAACTTTCTCACTCTTTAAAGAAGACTTTAAAATTCTTCTTTTTGTATATAAATCCCTACATAACCTAGCACCTGTCTACCTCTCTGAACTTCTTCATCTCTGCACTCCGTCTAGAAGCCTACGATCCTGTGACCAGGCTTTGTTGGTAGTCCCTCACGTTAGGCTTAAAGTTCACCCAAAAATGAAAATTCTGTCATTAATTTATCTGTTTATCAAATTTTAAATTGCCCCGCCTTATTAATACTCTAATATTCGGGTTGAACTGTTCTGGAACAGTGTTGTAAATACAACTTAACCACTGATTTCTAGTCGTGTCCTCTTTTGGAAGGCCAAACAAAGTAGTTTCGCTTTCACAATGAAACACAGCGTCACACACGGCGGG